CTGTTGTGTGTATGACTGTTGTATGTGTGACTGTTGTGTGTGACTGTTGTGTGTGACTGTTGTGTGTATGACTGTTGTATGTGTGACTGTTGTGTGTGTGACTGTTGTATGTGAGACTGTTGTGTGTGTGACTGCTGTGTGTACCACTGCTGTATGTGTGACTGTTGTGTTTATGACTGTTGTGTGTGACTGTTGTATGTGATGGACTGTTGTGTGTGTGACTGTTATTGTGACTGTTGTGATGTTGTGACTGTTGTGTGACTGACTGTGTGTATGACTGACTGTTGTGTGTGACTGTTGTGTGTGACTGTTGTGTGTGACTGTTGTATTATGTGTGACTGTTGTATGTGTGACTGTTGTGCGTGTTGACTGTTGTGTGTGACTGTTGTGTGTGTGACTGTGTGTGTGTGACTGTTGTGTGTGACTGTTGTAACAGTGAAACTGTTGTATGTGTGACTGTGTGTGTGTGACTGTTGTGTACGACTGTTGTGTGACTATTGTTGTGTGTGTTACTGTTGTGTGTGTGACTGTTGTGTGTGTGACTGTTGTGTGACTGTTGTGTGACTGTTGTATGTGACTGCTGTTGTGTGTGTGACTGCTGTGTGTGACTGTTGTATGTGATGACTGTTGTGTACAACTGTTGTATGCGTGACTGTTGTTATTGTGAAACTGTTGTGTGTGTGACTGTTGTGTGTTTGACTGTTGTATGCGTGACTGTTGTATGTGAAACTGTTGTGTGTGTGACTGTTGTGTACGTGACTGCTGTGTGTGTGACTGTTGTATGTGAAACTGTTGTGTGTATTGACTGTTGACTGTTGTGAAACTGTTGTGTGTGTGACTGTTTGTGTGTGACTGCTGTGTGTGTGACTGTTGTATGTGTGACTGTTGTATGTGAAACTGTGTGTGTTACTGTTGTGTACGTGACTGCTGTGTGTGTGACTGTTGTGTGTGAAACTGTTGTGTGTGTGACTGTTGTGTGAGACTGTTGTATGTGTGACTGCTGTGAGTGACTGTTGTATGTGAAACTGTTGTATGTGTGACTGTTGTATGTGTGACTGTTGTGTATGACTGCTGTGTGTGACTGTTGTATGTGAAACTGTTGTGTGTGTGACTGTTGTGTGTGTGACTGTTGTGTGAGACTGATGTATGTGAAACTGTTGTGTGTGACTGATGTATGTGAAACTGTTGTGTGTGACTGCTGTGTGTGTGACTGCTGTGAGTGACTGTTGTATGTGAAACTGTTGTGTGTGTGACTGATGTATGTGAGCCTGTTGTGTGTGTGACTGATGTATGTGAAACTGTTGTGTGTGTGACTGATGTATGTGAAACTGTTGTGTGTGTGACTGTTGTGTGTGAAACTGTTGTATGTGAGACTTTTGTGTGTGTTACTGTTGTGTGTGTGACTGCTGTGAGTGACTGTTGTATGTGTTTCTGTTGTGTGTGACTGGTGTTTGTGATTGTTGTATGTGTGATTGTTGTGTGTGTGCATGTTTTATGTGTGACTGTTGTGTGTTTCTGTTGTGTGTGACTGGTGTGCATGACTTGTATGTGTTTCTGTTGTGTGTGACTGGTGTGTGTGATTGTTGTGTGTGTGCATGTTGTATGTGTGACTGTTGTGTGTGTGTAACACAGAAGTGTGAGTGAGTGAATGACCATTAGGCTACCCTTGGCTACCCAAACACGGAATATAATACAAATTTTGTATTACATTCCGTGTTTGGTGATCGTCGTGCGATCACTTGACCATTGGGTGCGAGTGAGTGAATGACCATTGGGCTACCCTTGGCGGGGTACACCAGAAATGGGCTTAACACATCGTACCCGTCTGTTTTTGGACTTGGGCCATTGGCGTTACCCAACCGCGCCTCGAAACGATTAACAAGAGTTTCAGGTAAGAAATAGATTCAAAGTACATTCTCAGACAATGATATAATCAATCAAAACAAAAACATTAACCAAAAACATGAGACATCAAGGTGAACGTTGTCCTTCGTAATGATGGGTCGCAGCTGTGGAAGATCGTTCTGACGACCCCGTCTGCAGGAACACAGATGCTGCTGGTATACTAATCCTCTACGTTGGGACAGCTGGGAACACAGATGCTGCTGGTATACTAATCCTCTACGTTGGGACAGCTGGGAACACAGATGCTGTTGTATACTAATCCTCTACGTTGGGACAGCTGGCAAAACAGATGCTGTTGTTGGTAGCACTGCTTCCTGGTTTGCCTTCTGACGTTGGGATCACTGGGAACACAGCCTGCTGTTGTCATGGTAGCACTGCTTCTGGTTTGCCTTCTGACGCCATGGCAGCACTGCTTCCAGATGTGCATCCTGTTGTCATGGTAGCACTGCTTCCAGGTTTGCCTCCTGTTGTCATGGCAGCACTGCCTCCAGATGTGCTACCTATTGTCATGGTAGCACTGCTTCCTGGTTTGCCTCCTGACGTCATGATATCACTGCTTCCAGATGTGCTGCCTGTTGTTATTTTAGCCCTGCTTCCAGATGTGCCCCAAGTGGTCAAGGTAGCCCTGGTTTCTGATGTGCTCCAAGTGATCACCGTTCAAGATGTGCCTCCTGTTGTCATGGTAACACTGCTTTCTGATGTGAATGCCATGACGTGAATGACGTGAACCCGAAATATCTGTGAATAAGATGACAGTTTTACGCCGGCAATAATATTCCAGCAATGTCACGGCGGTGGACACCAGAAATGGGCTTAACACATGCCCATGTGGGAATCGAACTTCGGCGTGACGAGCCAACGAGGTTACCCCCACCGCCCCTCTGTGAATAAGGGTTTGCCAGTGACACAGCAGAATAATTCTCTCTAACCTCTATATTCCAGTTGTGACCAGGCTAAACTGTGACTTTAAAGATGAGCAACAGCCGTCAAGCCTGGGCACCTGATCCCCATTTTAGTCCATAACCAGGGGAAGATCTAGCAGAAATGTATCTTTTACACATTCAAACTGTTATTTTCTGAAATCCATTTCTATCATAACATATTAGGTTTTGTGGGACTGGTTATCTAATTGTTCTCGGATGCATTTGTTCAGAATATCCAAATGGACAACATATGTTTTTAGTTTGACAATTTGTTTTGTTACCCACTCCCGTACACACACACCCTCCCTTTGTCGCTGTAGCTGATATACACAGACGCAATCATTAGATAGGATACCCAGAACGTTGCTAAACTATCACTACCATTATAATACAGTAATAATCACGACTTCCAACTGAGGTCTCGTTGTGGAACTTTTATGTGTGGCCTGTGTTTAGATAGTCCGTTGGCAGTTAAGTACTGGGTCTGTCGTGATTTCATCTGCAACTGGCTGGTTGCAGTTAAGGAGGCGGTGAGGTAGCCTAGTGGTTAAAGCGTTGGCTCGTCACGCTGAAGGCCCGGGTTCGATTCCCCACATGGGCACAATGTGTGAAGCCCATTTCTGGTGTCCCCCGCCGTGATATTGCTGGAATATTGCTAAAAGCGGCGTAAAACTAAACTCAGTCAGTCAGTCAGTGGTTGCAGTTAAAGTTACTTTTGTACTGCTGTAATTGAACACAGTTACTGGAAAAGCAGTATCTGAAACATACATGTGTCAATCGTAAAATGCATAGTTTGTGTCCACATTATGAGTGTGGTCTATTTAATTCACGTGTTCAACCACCACGCGTATAACAGTCCTTCGTTGAGGAGAGTAAGAACTTACCATTGTTGGTGCCCGTGTTTGTTTAAATGACAACCAGGACTGATTATTGTCATCATATATTTTGCTCCATATATAACAGATACAATATAACATATAATAAAACACCAATACAACAAAGTTGATTTAGGTTACACATAAATCTATATACCGAAAATGTTCATCAGTGATATATAGGAAACCTACATGAAGAGACAACACAGTCGTAGGATCTATATCAGTATCTTCAGGGAGTAGGGGCGGTGGGGTAGCCTAATGGTTAAAGCGTTGGCTCGTCACGCCGAAGACCCGGGTTCGATTCCCCACATGGGCACAATGTGTTAAGCTCATTTCTGGTGTCCCCCGCCGTGATATTGCTGGAATATTGCTAAAAGCGGCGTAAAACTAAACTCAGTCAGTCAGTCTTCAGGGAGTACAGCCCGATAAGATGGAAGATTCCAGGCTGGAATCGTGAAGCACACTTTAGTCAAAGTAAACGTTTATATGGGGTGTACAGGTATCTAAATATGAATAAGTCTACGATAAAATTCTGACAGTGTCAGCTGTCAACACAACTACTTATGTAGTTACAATGGCTACACAAAGTGAAGGGAAATGTAAAGGAGGTCACGTGACTTTTGGAAGGGCATCCAATGCATGAATGCAGATCGCTTTGTAAAAAACCCGAAACTCTACTGCCTGAGTTTCTTGAAGACGATCTCGCCCAACAAGACTACAACAGCCAGAATGGCACCCACCATGAGGAGCAGGAACGGTGCTGCAAGTCTCCGAAAGGAAACTTGTACAGCCCTGATGGTTGGTTGCTGTCGTTTCGCAACTCCAGGAAAGCAGAACCACTTTCCCCACCATAGTACCTGCAGCTTGTATAGTGTGCCGTCTTCTCTCAATTTGCGCAATGCATCATCGATTTTCAGCTTGAGACCGGACCCTTGAATTGTGAAAAGAGCCAATGCCTTACTGAAATGACTTTTGCCATACACCATAACATTACATGGTAGTTGCTCGGCATGGTATTCAGCTGTCAACGACTCCATAATCATTACAAAGTTTCCATGACTACGTCTAACTCTTTCAATTCCTTCTGCAGTGTTGTTGACAAACGAGTTTCGCATCTCAACGTAGTTAGCCACACGCTGGTAGATGTCTTCTTTGCTCGTCTTGAATGATTGAAATGCACTTCCATGACGCACCATTCCAATACTGATTCTTCCATCATCAACTATGTCCTCAAGACCCTCGAAAGGCAGTGATGGCATCCCTCCTTCAGCCGATATGATGGTCATAGCTGCTCCGATGTAGGCCACCACGGTGAAGAAGATGAAGATGAACCACGACACGGCCAACACCCGCCCTGCCAGAGACCGGGGCGTTTCTCGGTAACCTGCAACACGTCATGAACGTCTAGAAACAAAGATTTAGCAATATTGACATCACTACCTGTTAAACTTATGCTGGTGCCAACAACACGTACATCGTCCAGTTTTTATCATATATAAGTACAGTTTAAATGTTCCCATTCCAAGTTTCAAATTAATTTGGAATATATTTTGTTAAACGCATCCAAATTGGAATAGGGATTGTAAGAGAAACGTTTGGAATGTGAGGTGCATTTCTTGAACTGGTACACGTTCTTACCTTGCAGTGTGATAGTGCTGAACACAAACATGAAACTCTCTCTCAGGCCAAAGCTGTGTCTTGCACCTCTGGGGTCTTTGTCCGATGCCACCTGTCTCCATTCAAACGGGTTGAACCGACCGATGAGGACGAATAGGATTGCCACGAGGAGAAGCGCAAACAGGATATAAAACCAAAGCTCCACCGAGAATGGTTCCAGCAAAAGACCAAGACCAGGGTCATACCTTCTAGACCTTTTCACCAGAAGACGTAGCGTCTGGGTTAGGTATGGCTTTGAAAAGTCCACAACGCGTTCCCTTTCTCTGGTAATGATGACGTCTCCCAGACCTATGTTTGCCTCCTGGTCAATGAAAGGTTAAATATGTCCTCACTTCCTGATATGATATTGTTGGCAAATACAGTTGGTAAACGTGAAAGTTCAGCAGTGAACGTTATGGCTGATAGAAAGTAGAATGAGTAATAATCACATTAGGCCTATGCTGTATTGATTATTTGTTTCCAGAGAAGTTCTAAATATCTTTTGATTTTCTATTTTGCTGAGTGTAATAAAGCATGTCATAAGTGAAGCATGTTTTAAATAGGACAGCGACACACAGACAAAACAATCTGCCAAAAGCCTGTATTGCAGACAAATACTGGAACTAGAGTGTATACATACCCTTCGTACCACCTCTCCAATCATGCCACTCCATTGTCCATTGTTGTAAGATCCGTATTGGCCGTCTTTAGAGAGCCGAATGTTGTATTTGAAGCCCACCAACTCGGCAACTTTGTCGAGTACATCAACGAGGAATCCCTTATAGCCGTCGCCATCTTTCTTCATGACGTAGGGCTTGGACTGGAATATACAGACATGTTGCTATGATACGAAGACAAAAACAGTCATATGTAGTTGAATACGTGTTTGATTGTTCCTGGAACGAGTAGCGTGTGAGTGATGATGGGTTTCGTTCGTTGGTGATATCGCATAGAATCATCGTGAACCAAAGATTCGATCATTGCTTTACAGAAAGTAAGTGACCGAGTTGTTTAAACGCTGGTTTGAACGGTATTTCAGTTCTGTTACGGTTTGGGGTGTTGGAGAAGCCTAATGGTTTCTTTTCAAAGAGTGATTAACGTAACAGCCAATCCCATGGACACGAACATGACGCTACAGCAGATATTTATAAACAGTGTGAACCTAGTATTCGAGCAATAATGCTACACAGCCGTGAAAGTGGATGTTATTGAAATGCATGAAACATATTCATTTAAAGTGAAGGACAGTTGGTATGAACATTGTTTCAGTTTTGGGTGGTGGAGTAGCTGCGTGGTTACAGTGTTCACTGGTCAGGTACGGGTTCGATCCTCCACATGGGTACAATGTGTCAAGCCCTTTTCTACCGTGCCCCTGTCGTGATATTACTGGAAACTCTCACTGTTACTGGTACGTCTCTACACAGCGAATCGCACAGTTTTAGCACTGCAACAGACCTGCTGGAATACTGGACCAGTCAACCCGGTGATTGATATGAGCAAGGATCCACGCTATTGGGGTACGATGTCACTAACAACTATGCTGACGGTAATAAATCAGTAGACACACAAGTAGGTTCTCTCCCTTTCACTACAAATATTTTGCCGGACATCTGACACGCCCTGCGATTAGTTAGATATGGTTATTTCCTATCCACGAGGACAAAGTAATGAAAATAGTTTCTAGAACCAATTATGTTCTTTTTGACAGCGAGTTTACCTTTTTCAGAATCTTTGGTTAAAGCAGAGTTACATGTACGATTCCGACTATACTATTAACATGCGTCTGAGATGTCTAACATGTGCGATGATATCTGGTGTATACAAAAGGGCGAGTGGGTGAGTATAGTGTTACGACGCTGTTAGCAATAATCTAGCCATATCGCGGCTTGGGGCGGTGACACCAGACATGAGCTTCAAATATTTTACCAATTTCGGAATCAAACCCAGTGTGAGGAATGAACGCTTTAACCACTAGACTACCTTGAGCGTCTCCTGTCTCACCGGTGGTAACCGTTCCAAACTCGTTCAAAACCAACATCCCAGCCCAATTTCATTACCATCCAATTCAAGCAGTTATGATAAATGGATATGGCGAAGGTCATGGTAAAAACCAGCCGGACAAAATAAAGAATGCATATGACAACTGATTTTTGACCCCAAACAATACTGGGATCAGTGTCCGAAACACTTCCAACGTTATGTATAAAACTCCGACACTCGTGTCAAATACATCACCATCATCGATCACATTTTAGCCAGCATCAAACATGGGCGTGCACATCGGTTTAATCTTCAGTTCATATTACAGCGAAAATGATTGCACGGTTTTTTAAATAAGAAACTTTGAAAAGTTGTTAATTGTTCACATTAGAGGGGCGATGATGAAAATCAAATTACAAGACCACTTAAGCTTAATCATGTTGCGATGAGGTTTGAACTTGGCCAGAATCAAAGGATACTTTCAGTAACTTACTAGTATCGAGGTTACAGTGTAGATTGGAGTTGACATCGTGGGTTGTCGACTTATACTGAAAAAGAATAAATAAGTATAAATCGTTTTAAATCTGAAATAGGCATTACGCACCGAAATTGAAGTGTATTGTCAATTCACGCCACAGCTGAACCTGTCAAACCTTTGTTTATTTTCCCGAGTGTGTGTTTTATGGATTATCTGATTCATCATCATATATCCTTTTCGACACAATTTACCTGTGAATCTACTCGATAGTTTTCTTCCGTCGTGATGTTGCAAAAGAAAACGGGATTCATCAGCAAACCAGATGCGCCTCCAGTTTTGTAAAGTCCATATCCTTACGTTGTTGCACCACCTGAGTCGTCGGCGGAGATGTAGGGGGCGTACAGGTCCAACAACTGGTCTACAGGCACGTAAACCCGCTTCTTTCAGACGGTTCCTAATCGTTTGAGCTGACACTCTCCTCAAACCTGGTATTTGTGTGGCAGTCACGGTTGGTAGGGCATGCCGATTACGCAGGTGATGGACCCGGATGTACCGATCTTGAAGGGGGTCGTGATTCTTGGCCTTCCACTTCTCGGGCGATCGTTGGTCAAATTGAAGTTGTTGTAGCGGCTCCAAAGTCGGGATATCGTTGTTTTGTGAACATTTAGGTGCCGTGCAACAGTTCCAAAACTTTCTCCGGCTTGAACACGACCAATGGCGATATTTCGGTCGGCAGCACTCAATCGTGGCATTTTTAACACAGCTTTTCGTATATAAGAGTTTGATGTGGTGTGCAGTGAATCTCTCAAGTGAGAAACATCTGAGGAGCACGGAAACCCGACTCCGTTTTATCAACTTGTTACCCTCCATCAGGGAAGAGAGATCCAACGATAGCATGCTTTGTGAATTAACGTGCATGATCTCTCTTTCTATTGTTGCTTGGTCCAGGCAGGGTGGGCATTATGAGCATCGAGCGATCCACGCAACTGGAATACGATGGTATGCAAGTCCTCGAGCCTCACCACCCGATACAATTAGTAGCGTCTTCTGACAAGGATGGGGTGGTTGGAACACATATTCTTATCTTAAATCCCTAAAAGCCATTCGGTTATAAATAAGCATCGCCTTTGGTAAAATGATATGATGGCATATGATACTTAACTCTTATTGCTTAAAGCTTATTAATTAATGGACGTTTACGAGGCAACTTCTAATGCCTCGCAATGAAATTGGATGTGTATTGCCGGATAGGGCCATAGGGTCAAAACGAAGAATTAACTTAACAGGGAAGTTACAGAACATTTCATTGAGAGCCATTTTAGAACTTGTAAAGATGAAGGAAAACCAATTACTATGTATAGTCAACTTCTTTATTGCAATGAGTGCGACGTTTCGGTGTAGAAACTAACACCGCTATCACCATTATCAAGCAACCACTTATCGAGCATCGGTTGCTGATAACGGTGTAAGTACCTACATCGAGACGTCTCATTCATGGCAATAATAAAGTTGACTATACATAGAAATTAGTTTTCTTACAGTTACAGAACAGACACAGAATTTAAATATATCTTTGATGCGTACGATCACTTTTATCTTACTATGTACGCATTAAGTAGCTCTGAACTGCGAGTCTAGCCCTAGCGATGTGATTAACACACTTTACAGTTGACAGCCCTCGACATGAACTGAAGGTGCAGTTGCTCTATCACACTCACGCTGCAAGTGCAATATTATTATATGCATGTTTACCAACCTTCATGATACGCGTGTGGGGCGGTGGGGTAGCCTAATGGTTAAAGCGTTCGCTCGTCACTACGAAGGCCCGGGTTCGATTCCCTACATGGGTACAATGTGTGAAGCCCATTTCTGGTGTCCCCCGCCGTGATATTGCTGAGATATTGCTAAAAGCGGCGTAAAACTAAACTCACTCACTCACTCATGATACCCGTGAGAATCCGGGTTAGGATTGGTCTTCGTAAGAGGCGACTAACGGGATCGGGTGGTCAAGCTCGCTGATTTGGTTGACACATGCCATCGTATCCCAATTGTGTAGATCGGGGCTCATGCTGTTGATCACTGGATTGTCTGGTCCGGACTCGATTATTTACAGACCGCCGCCATGTAGCTGGAATATTGCTGAGTTTGGCGTTAATCAAAACGTCCATGCAAGTATTGATATTGCAGTAATTCTACCCAACAAATGGGATCCTTAACATGAAAGATGTCTGAACGAGAATCATTAATGATGGGAGTCTGGCAAGTTCGGGTACCCGATAATTCACAGAGAACAACAGGACCTCTTGTGACCCATTTCAATATGTGTTATGATCTCTCATAAACAGACAATAAATTAACTTACCCCAATAACTTTCGGTTTTCAAATCTCTCCTCCAGGCACGGACCCTACTCTGTGCTATGTAACAACCTTGACAAGAATAAACATATTTCCACAGCTCCACATATTTCAGCCAACTATATTCTGTTAAAAAAACCCCAGTATCGTTATATGTCACCATCAGCTGATGCAACATATTAGTTCAACCTTTCCAAATAAGTCATCTTAAATGTTGAGTTCTCGCATGGGATCACCAAAGCAAATAATAGTTTTCCTGCAATTCCCAAACGCATGATTGCATCCGTCGATATTACGATAGTGCTCGCAAACGGAACGAGTGGAATCATAGCTGATAAGCCAGGTCTAACAAACATTGTGCAGTTAAGGTCGTGTTGTGAACAAAAATGTCAAACGCGCGCGTGCGTGCGTGCGTGCGTGCGTGCGTGCGTGCGTGCGTGCGTGCGTGCGTGTGTTTGCTTGTAGCCGTCCGGAGCCATGCCGCTTATATAGTGTATCCCTAAGCCTGTGGGCACACATTTACTCATGACTCAGAATGATAATTTGATTGACGATTATTTGATGAATGCAATCAGCTACTGGTCTGCTCTCGACTGAAGCGTGCCCTTGGTGTGTGTATATCGTCATGCCCCACACAGTCATTCTTTGCTCATGCTATCAATCACTAGGCCTGCCCAGATTCGATCATTTAAGACTTTCACCTCAACAAAGGTACATCATCACAAAGACATAAGACATTTGTGCTTCTTGCCCACTGTTTGAGGGTTGCATTCGTATATTGTGAGCTTCATCTTCACAATTCTCTCCAACCAAAATATTCGTCCTGGGACCAGGCTTACCTGTGACTGAAAATGTGAGCAACAACCGTCAACCTTGTCTCATAATTCTCATTTTAGTGCATAACACGTAGAAGGTCGATCAGAAATGTATCTTTTACACATTCAAACTGTAGGAAGGTGGGGTAGCCTAGTGGTCAAGGCGTTCGCTCGTCACGCCGAAGACCCGGGTTCGATTCCCCACATGGGTACTGTGTGTGAAGCCCATTTCTGGTGTCCCCTGCCGTGATATTGCTGGAATATTGCTAAAAGCGGCGTAAAACTAAACTCTCTCACTCACTCACTCATTCAAACTGTTATAAAGGATTACTTTTTGTGGGACTGGTTATCTATTTGGTCTCGGATGCATTTACACGCCGAAGACCCGGGTTTGATACCCGGTGAAGCCCATTTCTGGTGTCCCCTGCCGTGATATTGCTGGAATATTGCTAAAAGCGGCGTAAAACCATACTCACTCACTCGGATGCATTTGTTCAGAATATCGAAATGGACAACATTGTTTTTTGTTTGACAATTGTGTTTGTTACCCACTCACGTACACACGCAGCCTTCCAAATATCAGATGGTCCTTCTCTTTGTCGCTGTAGTTGACATACATTCACGGAGTCATTACATAGCACACACCCTAAACGTTCTAAAATATCACTTCCATTACAACACAGTAATGATCACGACTTCCAACCGAGGTCACGTTGTGGAACATTTATTCGTGGCCTGTGTTTAGCTAGACTGTTAAGTTATGTATTGTGTCTGCTGTGTTCACATCTGCCACCTGCCTGTTGCAGTTAAAGTTCCTATTGTCACTGTATGAAGGTACTGGAAAAGCAGTATGTGACAAATAATGTTACATGTTTCAACCATAAACTGCATAGTTTGTAGAGCTGTGACGATATATCGTAGTATCGACAATCGTATCGTTGACCTTAAAATTGTGAATTTTCACTAGAAATTGACGGTTATGTCAAAATTTACACTCAGTCTGTTACTTGTTATCAAAATACACTTTTTAAAAGAAAGTAACTAAAGATAGCATATCGTGATATGCATCGTATCGAATCGTATCGTTCCACGATATCGCGATACGTATCGTATCGTGAAATTTCTGTATCGTCACACCTCTGATAGTTTGAGTCCACATTATGAGTGTGGTGTATTTAGAGCTGTTCATAATTTTTGGCTGGGGTTGGGGGTTGGGGTTGGGGTGGGGGTGGTGGTGGTGGGTGTGATGGTGATGATGATTTCAAGGGGGTGGTTGTTACCCATTTTGTTCTGGGGAGGTAGGGGGTCATCAATTTTGTACACATGTACAAGGTGGGTCAGCAATTATGTACATAAAAATATTACAAAAATATGCTTAGAAATTATGGGAAGGGGGATTTTGTTCACTGGGGGTGGGTGGTGGGTGGTGTCACAGAAAATTTAGGGGGGTCATTCAAATTGTACATGCTTCTTCATAAAATCATCATCACCCCCCCTTAGCCATAAATTATGAACTGTCCCTTAATGTGGCAGTTTGGTGTATGAACGTGTTCACCCAACACGCGTGTAACAGTCCTTCGTTGAGGAGGTGAGGTGAGGTGAAATTGGGTTTAACGTCGTGCTTGGGAATATTTCGCTCATATGACGACGTGCATGCGTGTGTATGTGTATGTGCGGCTGCTTGTACTAGCCCAGACTTAAGCTGGTTTTATAGTGCTAGCCCACTGCGATACCATGCCGCAGTGAAGCATGAATACCCCACTCAGACACAGTATACTGACTCCGAGCCGACCAGTCCTTGTTGTACCCATTAATGCCGAGCGCCAGACAGAGACCAACAAGTACCATATTTTAACGTCTTTTGGTATGACGCGGTCGGGGATCGAACCCGCGACCTTCCGCTCTCCGGGCGGACGCTCTAACCACTACACCACGGAGGCGGTCTTCGTTGAGGAGAGTAACAACTGATCATTGTTGATGCTCGTGTTTGTTTAAATGAAAACCAGGACTGTGATTATTGTCATCATATATTCTGCTGCATACATAACAGATCAAATCAAACACCAATACAACAACGTGAGAAGCTGATTTAGGTTACATATACGTCTATATACCGAAAGTCATGGCGATGCATACTATAGAAATCTTTGTAAATCTTATCAATTCCACATGTCTTCAAACACTGCTAAATGTAAGTATGTATTTCTAGCATTTAAACTTTACCCATCGGTACACCAATAATATTATTATCATGCATTGTGTATTACTATAGTACTAACTGTGAAATTTATTCATCGTGTATATATTGAGGTATAAGAAAATGTGTATGTGCGGTTAATGTACGTCCTATGGGCCTGTGGCCTTTGATTTGAATGAATAAACGTAAAAAAATGTATACCGAAAGTGTTCATCAGTGATATATAGGAAACCTACATAAAGCGTCAACACAGTCGTAGGATCTATATCAGTATCTTCAGGGAGGACAGCCCGATAGGATGGAAGTCTTAGATGCTTCCCACTTTGGCGTGTATGATTCAGACAAACCAAGGATGAGAGGATCTAACATTAGATTCGAACCCAGCATCACACCGGCACGACTAACGAAATTTTATCGGGTTAGTTCTGGGATGCGGACCCATAGTCACAGGGTTCAGGTGAAGATCGGAATTCTGTTACGCGACTTCCGGCGTTTTAGACAAGTTGGCTAGCCGCAAATTCATCATCACTCGTCCTCAATGTACACACTAAAATATGCATCTAACTCAAAGGTGAAAATATATGTAAATGATGTCAGAAAAACATGCCGTCACCTTCTAACTGAACACTACATCATAGAGTCCAGGCTGGAATCGTGAAGCACACGTCAATCAAAGTAAATGTTTATATGGGGTGTACAACTATCAAAACGTGAATAAGTATACGATGGCATTCTGGTCATCCAATGCAGATAGCTTAAAAAACCCTGAAACCCTACTGCCTGAGTTTCTTGAAGACGATCTCGCCCAACAGGACTACAACAGCCAGAATGGCACCCACCAGGAGCAGCAGGAACGGTGCTGCAAGTCTCCGAAAGGTAACTTGTACAGCCCTGGTGGTTGGTTGCTGTCTTTTCTCAACATCTGGAGGAATACAGCGCCCCGCTTTCCACCATCTCTCCTGCAGCATGTGAATTATGCCATCTTCTCTCAATGTGATCAAAGCATCATCGATTTGTTGATGGAGACCGGACCCTTTATTTGTGAAAAGAGCCAAGGCCTGACTGAAATGACTGTTGCCATACACCATAACATCACACTGTCGCTCAGTAATGTATTCAGCTCTGCAACGACTCCAGAATCATTACAAAGTTTCCATGACTACGTCTTACTCTTTCAATTCCTTCTGCAGTGTTGTTGACAAACGAGTTCCGCATCTCAACGTAGTCAGCCACACGCTGGTAGATGTCTACTTTGCTCGTCTTGAAAGATTTAAACGAACTCCCATGGCGCACCATTCCAATTTGGATGTCCCCACCATCAACTATGTCTTCAAGATCTTCAAAAGGCAGTGATGGCATCCCTACTTCGGCTGACATGAAGGTCACAGCTGCTCCGATGTAGGCCACCACGATGAAGAAGACGAAGATGAACCAAGACACGACCAACACCCGTCCTGCCAGAGACCGGGGCGTTTCTCGGTAACCTGCAACATGTCATGAACAGAAACAGAAAGATTTGGAAATATTGATATCACTACATGTTAAACTTATGCTGGTGCCAACAACACGTACAGCTGTTATCACATAAGTACAGTTTACGTGTTACCCTACCAAGTTTCAAATTAATGTGGAATGTATATTTTAAAACGCATCCATATTGGAATAGGGATTGTAAGAGAAAAGTTTGGAATGTGAGGTGCATTTCTTGAACTGGTTCACGTTTTTACCTTGCAGTGTGATAGTGCTGAACACAAACATGAAACTCTCTCTCAGGCCAAAGCTGTGTCTTGCACCTCTGGGGTCTTTGTCCGATGCCACCTGTCTCCATTCAAACGGGTTGAACCGACCGATGAGGACGAATAGGATTGCCACGAGGAGAAGCGCAAACAGGATAGACAACCAAATTTCCGACGAGAATGGTTGCAGAAAATAGCCAAGGCCAGGTTCATACCTTTTAGGCGTTTTCACTAGAAGACGTAGAGTCTGACTTAGGTATGGCTTGGAAAAGTCCACAACTCGTTCTCTTTCTCTGGTAATGGTGACGTCTCCCAGGCCTATGTTTGCCTCCTGGTCAAGGAAAGGTTAAATATGTCCTCACTTCCTGATATGACTTTGTTGGCAGATACAGTTGGTAAACGTGAAAGTTCAACAGTGAACCTTATGGTTTATAGGAACTAAAGTGACTGCTAGTCACATTAGGCCGATGCCGTTCTAAATATATTTTGATTTTCTTTTTAAATATTGAAAATATGCTATGTTTTTTGCTAAGTGTAATAAAGCATGTCATACGTGAAACTTTATAGTGAGTGAGTGAGTTTAGTTTTACGCCACACTCAGCAATATTCCAGCTATATGGCGGCGGTGTGTAAATAATCGAGTCTGGATCAAACAATCCAGTGATCAACAGCATGAGCATCGATCTGAGTAATTGGGAACCAATGACATGTGTCAACCAAGCCAGCGAGCCTGACCAACCCGATCCCGTTAGTCGCCTCTTACGACAAGCATGGGTTACTGAAGGTTCATTCTAACCTGGACCTTCAAGGGTGGAATCTTTATAAATATGAAAGAGGCACACACAGACAAAACACTTTGCCAAAAGCCTGTATTGCAGACAAATACTGGAACTAGAGTGTATACATACCCTTCGTACCACCTCTCCAATCATGCCACTCCATTGTCCATTGCCGTAAGATCCGTATTTGCCGTCTTTAGAGAGCCGAATGTTGTATTTGAAGCCCACCAGCTCGGCAACTTTGTCGAGTACATCAACGAGGAATCCTTTATAGCCCTCGCCATCTTTCTTCATGACGTAGGGATCGGACTGGAATATACAGACATGTTGCTATGATACGAAGACAAATACGCTCATAGATAGTATCGTTGATCATCATAATCATCATCATTAACTTACAGAAAGTAAGTGACCGAGTTGTTTAAACGCTGGTTTGAACGGTATTTCAGTTCTGTCACGGTTTGGGGTGTTGGGGTAGCCTAATGGTTTCTTTTCAAAGAGTGATTAACGTAACAGCCAATTCCATGGACACGAACATGACGCTACAGCAGATAATTATAAACATTGTGAACCTAGTATTCGAGCAATAATGCTACACAGCTGTGAAAATGGATGTTATTGAAATGCATGAAACATATTCATTTAAAGTGAAGGACAGTTGGTATGAACAATGTTTCAGTTTTGGGTGGTGGAGTAGCTGTGTGGTTACAGTGTTCACTCGTCAGGTACGGGTTCGATCCTCCACATGGGTTACAATGTGTCAAGCCCTTTTCTAGCGTGCCCCTGTCGTGATATTACTGGAAACTCTCACTGTTACTGGTACGTCTCTACACAACGAATCGCGCAGTTTTAGCACCTAAACAGACCCGACTGTATGGAATACTGGACCAGACAATCCGGTGATTGATATGAGCAAGGATCCACGCTGTTGGGGTACGATGTCACTAACGACTGTGGTGACGGTAATGCATCAGTCAGTCGGGAGAAGACATACAAGTAGGTTCTCTCCTTTTCACTACAAGTACGTCACGCCGAAGACCCGGGTTCGAATCCCCACATGGGTACAATGTGTAAAGCCCATTTCTGGTGTTCCCCCGCCGTGATGTAGCTGGAATATTGTTTAAAGCGGCGTAAAACCAAACTCAGTCAGTCAGTCAGGCAATCACTACAAGTATTTTGCCGGACATCAGACATGCCCCGCAATCGTTAGGGTTGGTCATTTCCTATACATGAGGATGAGTTGGTTAATGAAACTAGCTCCTTGAACTAATAACAGCGACACTACCCTTTCCACTATCTTTGGTTAAGCAGAATTAAATGTACGAATCCGACTATACTATTAACATGTGTCTGAGATGTCTGTGCGGTGATACCAGGTGTATACAAATACGTGAGCGAGTGAGTATAGTGTTACGACGCTGTTAGCAATAATCTAGCCATATCACGTCTTATCGCGGTGACATCAGACATGGCCATCACATATTTTACCTATTTCGGAATCAAACTCAATGTGAGGAGTGAACGCTTTAACCACTAGACTACCTTGAGCGTATCCTGTCTTACCGCTGGCAACCATTCCAAACACATTCCAACCAATATCCCAGCCCAATATCATTACCATCCAATTCTAACAATTATGGTTAAAAAAACAGCCTGACAAATAAAGAATACACATGGCAACTAACTTTGACCCCAAAACAATACTGGGATCAGTGTGCGATGCACATCCAACGTTGTGTATAAAGCTCTGACACTCTTGTCAAATACATCACCATCATCGATCACATTTTAGCGAGCATCAAACATGGATTAATCTTCAGTTCATATTACAGTAAAAATGATGACAGTTTTGCAAAGTTAATAACTGTTCACATTAGAGGGCCGATGATGAAAATTATATTACACGACCACTTAAGCTTAATATGTCGCGATGAGGTTTGAACTTGGCCTGAATCAAAGGATACTTTCAGTAACTTACTAGTATCGAGGTAACGGTGTAGGTTGGAGCTGACATCGTGGATTGTTAACTTGTACTGAAAAAGAATAAATAAGTATGAAACAGTTTAAATCTGAAATATGCAGAAATGGAATTATTAATTCACACCACAGATGAACCTGGCAAAACTTTTGTTTATTTTCCCGAGTGTGTTTTTTATATGTTTTATCTGATTCATCATCATATGTTATTTTCGTATTTATAGTTATATAAGGGTTTGATGTCAACAATGAATCCCTCAACTAAGAAGCATGTGAGGGACACGGAAACCCGACTCCGTTTTATCAACATTTTATTCACTATCAAGGAAGAGAGATCCAAAGATACTATGGTTTGTGAATCAACGCCAAGTGCATGTTTTCTTGGTGTTTGGGCCAGACAGGATGGGCATTACGAGCATCGATCCACACAACTGGAATACCCGATCCATTCCATTGTGTTCTTAATAGATCTCTCCACTCTATTATGAAACACACAAATCCACTTACGAGGCAACTTCTAATGTCTCTCAAACAAGTTGAATGTGTTTTTTGTCATAGGGTCAACACAAGACAGAACTGTTACAGAACAGCCACAGAATTGAAATAAAATATTTTTCAATATAGTACTATCGCTTTGATCCAACTATGTAGCCATTAAACTGTACTGAATTGCGAGTCTAGCCCAAGGAGGTGCGATTAACACAGTTTATAACTGACAGCCCTCGACATGAACTGAAGATGCTGTTGTTCTATGGCACTCACGCTGCAAGTGCAATATTATTATATGCATGGAAAGAGGCGACAAAGAGGACCGGGTGGTCAGGTTCGCAAACATGGTTGACGCATGTCATCGTATCGCAATTGAAGAGATTGATGTTCATAGATTTGATCACAGTATTGTCTGGTTCAGACTCGATTATGACTGCAGTCATATAGCTTGAATATTGCTGAACAAATAAACAAACAAACAAAACTAACATGCAGGCATCGATTTTACAGTAATTTTACCCAATATTTAGACCCTTAACATGAACGAAGTCTGAAAGTAAATGATGGGAGTCGGGTACCCGACAATTCAGAGAAAACCGGCGCCCCAGGCAGCAGAATCGCCCGTGTCCATCTTCAATATCTGTTTTATTACCGTTTGTAAAAGACAATAAATAAACTTACCCCAATAACTTTTGGTTCTTCAAATCTCTCCTCCAGGCAAGGGCCGCACTCAGTGCTGAGGAACAACCTTGACATGAATCAGAATATCTCCACATATTTCAGCCAATCATGGTCTGGGTTGTTGTAAATTAGTATCGTTATATGTTATCATCAGCTGATACAACATAATCGTTTGACCTTTCCGAATTAGCCATCTAAAATGTTGAGTTCCCGGATGGGATCACCTAAACAGATAATAGTTTTCCGGCAATCAAATCAAACACGTGACTGAAAATGTGAGTTACAACCGTCAAACCTGGTCACCTCACCCCCATATTAGTCCATGACTTGGGGAAGGCCAATCAGAAATGTATTTCTGAAATACATTTCTACCATAACAGATTAGTTTTTTGGGGACTGGGTATATATTTGCTCTCAGATACATTTGTTCAGAATATCCAAGTAGACAACGTATGTTTTTTGTTTAACAATTGTGTTTGTTATCTACTGGCGGACACACACTTCCCTCCAAATATCAGATGGTCCTTCCCTTTGTCGCTGTAGTTGACATACATTAACGGAGTCATTACATAGCACACACCCTAAACGTTCTAAAATATCACTTCCATTACAACACAGTAATGATCACGACTTCCAACCGAGGTCACGTTGTGGAACATTTATTCGTGGCCTGTGTTTAGCTAGACTGTTAAGTTATGTATTGTGTCTGTTGTGTTCACATCTGCCACCTGCCTGTTGCAGTTAAAGTTCCTATTGTCACTGTATGAAGGTACTGGGAAGCAGTATGTGACAAATAATGTTACATGTTTCAACTATAAAATTCATAGTTTGTGTCCACATTATGAGTGTGGTGTATTTAATTCAGCAGTTTGGGGTATAAACGTGTTCACCCAACACGCCTACAGCTGCCCTTCGTTGAGGAGACTGATCATTGTTGGTGCCCGTATTTGTTTTAAATGAGACTCAGGACTGTGATTATTGTCACAATATATTTTGCTCCATGCATAACAGATAAAATCAAACACCAATACAATTATGTGAGAACTTGATAAAGGAAAGTTTTCGTCAGTGATATATAAGAAGCCTCCATACAGCGTCAGCACAATCATAGCAACTATATCAGCGTGGTAGGAGAAGAAAGCATGAAAAGATGCAAGTCTTAGATGCTTCCAACTTTGGTTCAGACAAACCATCGATAACATTAGTGAGTGAGTTAAGTTTTACGCCACACTCAGCAATATTCCAGCTATATGGCGGCGGTCTGTAAATAATCGAGTCTGGACCACACAATCCAGTGATCAAAAGCATGAGCATCGATCTGCGCAATTAGGAACCGATGACATGTGTCAACCAAGCCAGCGAGCCTGACCATCCGATCCCGTTAGTCGCCTCTTACGACAAGCATGGGTTACTAAAGATCAATATTCTAACCCGGACCTTCACGGGTCCATAACATTAGATTCCAACCCAACATCATCCTGGCACGACTAACGAAACTTTATTGGGTCAATTCTGGTATGCGGACCCATAGTCTCAGGGTTCTGGCAATGAACGGAATTCTGTTAAGCAGCTTCTGTCACTTTAGATTTCATTGCCAGCCACAAACATCACACGTCCTTAATCTACACCAGCGAAATGAACATATTTCTCAAAGATGAAAAATATAAATGATGTTAGAAAAAACATGCCGTCAACTTGTAATTGAACCCTACATCATAGATTTATATGTCTCATGACATATTTAATGACACATTGCGCAGCTAATCCGCCAGGCTTGGATCGTGAAGCTCACGTTAAATGTTTATATAGGGTGTACAAGTATCTAAATGTGTATAAGTCTACGATAACATTTTGACAGTGTCAACAGTCAACACAACTACTTATTAAGATCTACTTGAGATCGCAACACAAAGTGAAGGGAAATATGAAGGAAAGTAGTGGCTTTGAAACGACACCCAAAGCATGAATGCATTTTAGAAAAGCCTGAAGCTCTACTGCCTGAGTTTCCTGAAGACGATCTCGCCCAACAGGACTACAACAGCTAGAATGGCACCCGCCAGCAGCAGCAGGAACGGTGCTGCAAGTCTCCGAACCGTAACTTCTACAGCCCTGATAGTTGGTTCTTTTTTATTCACAGCAGGCCCACAGAACCCCGCTTTCCACCACTTCTCCTTCAGCATGTGCATTGTGCCATCTTCTTTCAATGTGAGCAAAGCATCATCGATTTTTTGCTTGAGACCGGACCCTTGAATTGTGAAAAAAGCCAAGGCCTTACTAAAATGACTTTTCCCATACACCATAACATCACACTGTCGCTCAGTAATGTATTCAGCTCTCAACGACTCCATAATCATTACAAAGTTTCCATGCCTACGTCTAACCCTTTCAATTCCTTCTGCAGTGTTGTTGACAAACGAGTTCTGCATCTCAACGTAGGCAGCCACACGCTGGTAGATGTCTACTTTACTCGTCTTGAAAGATTTAAACGCACTTCCATGGCGCACCATTCCAATTTGGATTTTCCCACCATTAACTATGTCCTCAAGATCTTCAAAAGGCAGTGATGGCATCCTTTCTCCGGCCAACATGAAGGTCACAGCTGCTCCGATGTAGGCCACCACGGTGAAGAAGACGAAGATGAACCAAGACACGGCCAACACCCGTCCTGCCAGAGACCGGGGAGTTTCTCGGTAACCTGCAACACGTCATGAACGTCTAGAAACAAAGATTTAGAAATATATTAATATCATGTTAGACATGTTAAAATTATGCTAGAGTCACATACCTTGTCCAGTTTTTATCATATGAATACAATTTAAGTGTTCCCCTCGAAAGTTTCAGATTAATGTGGAATACATTTTGTTAAACGCATCCAAATTGGAATATGGGTTGAAAGAGAAACGTTTGGAATGTGAGGTGCATTTCTTGAACTGGTTCACGTTCTTACCTTGCAGTGTGATAGTGCTGAACACAAACATGAAACTCTCTCTCAGGCCAAAGCTGTGTCTTGCACCTCTGGGGTCTTTGTCCGATGGCACTTGTCTCCATTCAAACGGGTTGAACCGACCGATGAGGACAAATAGGATTGCCACGAGGAGAAGCGCAAACAGGATATAAAACCAAAGCTCCACCGAGAATGGTTCCAGCAAAAAAGTAAGACCAGGGTCATACATTCTAGGCTTTTTCACCAGAAGACGTAGCGTCTGGGTTAGATATGGCTTGGAAAAGTCCACAACTCGTTCCCTTTCTCTGGTAATGATGACGTCTCCCAGGCCTATGTTTGCCTCCTGGTCAAGAAAACGTTAACGATATCTCATCTCCTAGTGTGACTTTTTTGGCAGGTACGTTTGGTAAATGTGAAAGTACAGTGGTTAACGTATTGTGTCTGACAACGTATGGTGTTCGCAATAGGTAATTACTGCAGTGATTGATATTCACAGGCCCACGCTGTACTGGTTTTGTGTTTCCTGAGAAGTTCTAAATATCTAACTTATTTTTTTCTATGTGATTTCCTTTGTAGATATTGAAAATGTACTACTTATTTGCTGTGTGTAATACATTATGCAACCGTATGAATATAAAGGCGACGCACACTTTCCATAGTCATTAACATTTTTGGTAAAAGCAGGGTCTTTTGCAGACAAAACTGACAAATCGCAGGAACTACACAGTTTATTACTGTGTATACATACCCTTCGTACCACCTCTCCAATCATGCCGCTCCATTGTCCATTGCTGTAAGAACCGTATTGTCCGCCTTTTGAGGGCTGAATGAGGTAGTAGAAACCAACCTTCTCAGCAACTTTGTCGAGTATGTCAACGAGGAACCCTTCATAGGCCTCGCCATCTCCCTTCATGACGTAGGGATCGGACTGGAATATACAGACTGACAGTATCGTGTTGTTATCATACGAAGGCCAGTACGCTCATGGGTAACTGAATAGGTGTTTTATTCCGACTGTTCCTGTGACGTGTGAGGGATAATGGGTTTCGTTCATTTGTTATATAGCAAAGCATCATCATCATCGTGAACGTAGGTTTCGAAAAAGTGAAACTTCGTAAGTGAATGAGTTCACTTTTATCACGGTTAGTGAGTGTGTTTAGTTTTTTTACTCCTCTTTTAGCAATATTCCAGCAATATCACGGCGGTTGACACCAGAAATCGGCTTCACACGTTGTATCCATTTGGGGAATAGAACCCGAGTTTTCAGAGTGACGAGCGAACGCTTTAACCACTAAGCTACCCCACCGCCCCTTATTACGGCTAGGGGTAGCCTCGTGGTTTCAATCCATACAGCGTGCCAACGCAGCAGTTTACGTAATAACCAATCCCATGGACCGAACGTGGTGATAAAACACAGAATGATCATCACCGGGAAGTAAGTATGGTTTTACGCCGCTTTGTGCAATACTCTAGCCATATCACGGCTGGGGGCTTCACACGTTTTACTTATGTGAGGACTCAATCCGGGTGTGACGAGCGAACGCGTTGATCATTAGACTATCCTGTCCCACCGGTGAAAACTGTCACAAAAACTTCAAAACAGCATCTCAGTCCACATTCATCACCAAACTATACCCCAAATCATGATGAATTAATTTCTAAGATGCCTAGCGGTTAGAACAATCGAAAAAAAAATACATTATCAGACAATAAAGGTATAGTTTTTTGATGACGTAACAATTGAATGACGTTATCCCGTCACTGTGCCATTCTAGTGTGCCCCCTCGTAATCGAACCATTTTACATTACGTCACAATGTAAGCGACGTCACGATGCATGTCAGTTGTCATCGCCTCGTACGGCCTCCTACAGTAAACTACACCGTTGCATCCAGTTTCTTGGTTTGCTGTTGCTTCACGCAGCTAACATCACTGGTGGAAACATTACGTTTATGTTTTACGACGGTTAAAATGTGTCATTTCGACTCACAAGTTTTCAGCGACACGGTAACGTTCGTAATGTTTACATTCCACAATGCAATTGTGGAATGTCGCTTGACTACTCAACTTCTCTGGATGTACTGATCTAAACTTACGCTGGTAGTAGAAATGCAACGTTCATATTGCCCCATATGGTTTACGTTAATGACAGATGTAATTAAAATAATTCAGAAGATATTTAATCCGAACGTAAACCGTCATCAAACTGTTATCATTTGTCTTTTTCTGGTAACGTTCGTCTTAACGTAGGGGGCAGACACATCAATAGAACAGCGCGCCAGTTAGCCCTGTGCGAGGATTCTTAATTTAGGTCACCGACACCGTCGTTTGTTTTCTGCCTTAAATTAATCGTAATTATATTTAGAAAGTATTAAATTTGGTATCTTAGAAAAGAAATACACTTCGCCCTACCACCATGTATAGTGTAATAAAACACACTTTCGCCCTGAACTATTATAACGTTAAAACACTCGGACGCAAGCGTCCTCGTGCTTTAACTATAATAGTTCAGGGCAAAAGTGTGTTTTATTACAGTATACATGGTGGTAGAGCGAAGTGTATTTGGTTGAGAGCTTGCGATTTGTAGTAGGAATAAGGACAAATCTGATGTCTTACAACTCGGCTGCCACTAGTTGTATGCGATTTCAAATCGTTACTAGTAGGGTGTTCTCACGTTGCAACTGTGTTGCATGCTACAAGTTGTTGCTACAAGTCGCAACGTGGAGAACGCACTCCGACACTCGTGTCAAGTACATCGCTATCGAGTAATCGCTGCTTGTTTGCATCCATTTAAACACCATCAAACTGTGTTTGACTAACTTTTCATATTGCAGTAATAACGATAAAGTGAGCTTTCAACAAAAACATCCAGTAACCTGAAGGTTTTTGAAAACTAAATAACAGTCTACTGTCGATGTTCAGAAAACAGGGGCGGTGGGGTAGCCTAATGGTTAAAGCGTTGGCTTCTCACGCCGAAGACCCGGGTTCGAATCCCCACATGGGCACAATGTGTGAAGCCCATTTCTGGTGTCCCCCGCCGCGATGTTGCTGGAATATTGCTAAAAGCGGCGTAAAACCAAACTCAGTCACTCAGTCAGTCAGAAAACACATAACGCAAATCTAATTGATTGGTCCCTCCCTTTTGTCAGTAACCTTGAGGGTGAGAGAAACGAGATAATAGGTGGACACAACCCACTGATATGGGGAGGCGATGTTAAACATGTGACACTTATGCTTGTTAATATACTTGTGGTATTGTGGTCTAAACCTGGTCAGTAGTTTCTATGAGAGGCATTTTAGAAGTTGTAAAGATGAAGGAAAACAAAGTTCTATGGATAGTCAACTTCTTTGTCGCAATGAGTGCGACGTTTCGGTGTAGGTCCTAACACGGTTATCAAGCATATGATATCATCACCGTTATCATCACTTGCTTGATAGCGTTAGTACCTACACCGAAACTAATTGCAATAAAGAAGATGACTCTCCATAGAACTTGGTTTTCCCTGGTCAGTAGAGTTTACATTACAGTACAATGCAGTTGACTAACTTACTAGTATCGTGGTAGCGACGTACGTTGGAGCTGACATCATAGGCTGGCGAGCTGTACTGAAAAATAATAAACAATGATTCAGACCGAAACTGCTTGACCAATTCAGCATTATATATTATTTCGTGTTAGTGTATTCATCTAGATAAATATGAGTGAAAGCGATGCAGTTTGTTATGGTGGACTGTGAATATCTTTAGTTAGAAAGGGGCGGTAGGGTAGCCTAGTGGTTAAAGCGTTCGCTCGTCACGCCGAAGACCCGGGTTCGATTCCCCACATGGGTACAATGAGTGGAGCTCATTTATGGTGTCCCCCGCTGTGATATTGCTAACAGCAGCATAAAACTAAACTCACTCACTCACTCTAGTTAGAAAGTTCTAAAGTCCACAGAAACCTGATACAGTGGACTCTGTATAATCTGCCATCTGAATCATCCGACAATCTGTGTATTCTGACATATTTTCGGGGTCCCGGCATCGTTCTTCTATATTATCATCATTTAAACATTGAATTATCCGACATCTGTACATCCCGAATTCCGACACCATTTTCTCGTCCCAATGACACTGTTAATATGTACTATCCGACATCCTCTCCCCGTACTGGACTAAAATAGCCAATCAACCTGTCAATGGCCAGTTGACAACTAACATACCGTTACTGGTTTAGTGTTACTCTTTGGTCCCAGCACTTGCTAATTGGGGGGTAATTGGCAGTGTGAGAACCCCCTGTACCGTTGTTTTTACAAGCAGAGTGGCCAATGTGAGGATCTAGGTATATGATCTATGATATAAGCCAGTTACAATGTATTGTACTGTTTGAAAAGTATTCAAGCAAGGATACACTGAATTATCCGACACCCTGTATAATCCGACATTTGTTTCTGGTCCCAGTCAGTGACGGATTATACAGAGTCCACTGTACTGCTATGTAGTGACAAGGATCCAACGATAACATGCTTTGTACATCCACCTCAATGGCTGATACTCAACATATGCGTAAAACTCAACTCGCTCACTCACTTACTCATTGTGTGTTATAGGTGTGACAAGTACCTTATGTACCCGTATGTTGAAACAGCTCAGGTATTTACTTGTTGAATTCACAAACACGTAAAACATGACATTCATCTTTAGTGCACTTTCTATTTGGAAATTTACAATCATATTTCCGTTTTTACCAGTTTTACCATGTTGAAATGTCTTGTGAAGTAAACAATCGGATGAGACCCTTAATGATGATTGCAATTGAAATATCAATTTTGAAATGTGCATATCTATTCCATGGTCGACTTGAAATATAATATCTTCCATGCGAACGATATATATAGTACGATCACTTTAAGCCAACTATGTTAGCACTAAATAACACTGCGAGTCTGGCCCTAGGATGTGTGATTAACTCACATCATTATTTTATAACACTCGGACCCGTGAAGGTCCGGGTTAGAATGAACCTTCTGTAACCCATGCTTGTCGTAAGAGGCGACTAACGGGATCGGGTGGTCAGGCTCGCTGGCTTGGTTGACACATGTCATCGGTTCTCAATTACACAGATCGATGCTCATGCCTTTGATCACTGGATTGTTTGGTCCAGACTCGATTATTTACAGACCGCCGCCATATAGCTGAAATATATATATGAGTGCGGCGTAAAACTAAACTCACTCACTCTTAACCCTAGGCCTTTACTCTACCGCACTCACACATTGTTATATACATGCTTATCAACCTTCGTTCTAATTTGATCCGTTTCCATTGTTTTACAACATGTAGTACCCAGTGTTTCGGGTAGGTAAACATACAATATATATAACCATAGTTTCCATTAATATAATGATATGCAGATTATTCTGCTTGAGATGAAATGCTAGAATACCACTATGTCCACAGTAGTCTGGAATGCGTATAATGTACAGCTTGAAGTTACTGGCCATTTCGAGTCTTTCAGGATGGGAATCCTGACACGTTCGAGGACCCGACAATTCACAATGAACTGCCACAGCTTGGACAACCGGACCACTCGTGTCCCACTTGTGTGTAACAATCAAGAGGCAATAAATGAACGTACCTTATTGACGTTTAGTTTTTAAATCTCTCCTCCAGGCACGGACCGTACTCTGTGCTAAGCAACAACCTTGACATAGATCTCTAGGGCTTAACATATTTCAGCCAATCATGTTCTGGGTTGTTTGTGTTTTTGATATGCCTTTGTGATCTTTATTTTTTCTGCACTGAAAAGGTCACAGGCCTGCAGTACAATTATACATATAATTTAGGCAGTAGACATTTGACAAAGTAAATATTCTCGGTGTAACGAGGCATATGGATGCACATTGACAAACGCTGAAAGTGCGGTTGGTTTGAATGGTTTTACAAAGATATGATGTAGAAAAAAACAGCTTTTTAAATAACTTCTTCTCAAACAGAAGAAAGTTGGACATTCGCAGACAAAATGATATTCGTCTTCAATTAGGTTTAAATTACACAGTTTACACATTCTATTTTCCCTTTTGATGCCAATATATCTGCCTGTTTCTATAAATAATGAGATGATCAGCGGAATCTCGCAGGAGTATTTCAAAATGGTATTATATTGTCGTGTATTCAGATATTTTAAATATTTTGTAGATAACTTTATTTGACAGAGATCAGCGAGCGGTCCAATTCTGAGTACACATATTAGTCAGGCGTGTTATAGATAACAAACAATGTGTGAGTGACTCTATAACCGGCTCATACCATATATACTCAAAGGCAATTGATTGTGATTGATTTGAAGTTAGATATGTGAATTAACAACTGATATATTGCAAGAAAATCATTCCACAATAGGATTGCAAATGGCACATTTTAAAGTTTCTGGCGGACACATGCTAATGAGGACACAGTGTGAGAACGGTCAAAATGAAATTCACACAGTCAATTACGTGTATGTCCACCATGAACATTGATGCATTTTTTACACCTGCGCCTCATAGGGCAAATCACACGTCCTAAGAAGTTTTGTGAAGCACCTGTGGAAGCACCTGGCGTAGTTCCTGAAGCGTGACTTGGGGATGTGGCCAAAGTCTCAATCTCCTCAACATTTCGTCCCAGACGTGTTCGACAGGGGACAGATCTGGGGATTTAGCGAACCAGGGGAGGACGTTAATATTGTGCTTCTGCCAAGAACAGCTGAACCATCCTGGCGACATGAGGTCTGGCGTTGTCCTGCTTGAAGATCCTTCCTAGACCATTCTGCTGGAGAAACGGTATGACGACTGGATTAACAATTTCGTCTCTGTACCTGAGACCCGTTAAATTTCCATTAATGACTACCAAAGGTGTACGTCCAGCACTCGTTATGTCATCCCCAATCCATCACTCCACCGCCGCCAAAACGCTCACCACGTCGCCAGAAAACTCGGGTTCGGCCATCAGCGCGGTGCAAGAGGATTCTGGACTCGTCAGTGAAAAGAACATGTCTCCACTCACGTGCTTTCTACCTCAGTAGACTTTACCACTACTGTCGGAGACGTTGGTGACGTAATGGCACGGTATGTTGTCTGGCAGGACGTCTAGCACGTATCCCGTGTGCATCCAGACGTCTGCGAATGGTCCTTGGCGAAATCCTGTTGACACCAGGAACTGGGTGGTTGGAATCCAACGACCGTCGTGTGGTTACAGGTGGATGGCCACTTCGGGGACGGTCTGCAACGACGTCGTTTTGATGATAACGTCTCCACAAGCGGCATCTGGTGTTCATGTGCACGTTAAATTGCTGTGCAACGTTGCACTGGGATGTTCCGGTTTCAAGCATTCCTATGGCTCGCCTTCCTTCATTTTCAGTTAGCCGTGGCATGATAGAGATATGCAAGCAGAGTGTTCCAAATTTTTGTTTTTCGGACCTGTCGACGTCTAAACAATGATTTGAGTGACAATGATTCGAGGTTTAGACCCAAACTTTTTAAAGGGCATGTTTTTTGCCTTTTTCCACGGACTTCTTGAAAGCACGAAAAACTCATGCAAAACAAAAACTACTCACCGGGCCCTGTTTGGGTTATGGATGAAGCGTACTATAAAGAATATTAAAATGCGTTATGAAAATGTTCTCATTTATATATACAAATGTGTTGATCACACTAACTTTTGCCTTTGAGTATGTTACCAAACCCAATAGAAAACAGTAAATGTTGTACATCTCTTATCCAGTTATATTTTCCATTCATTGTAATCATAAAGCATTTTTAGGTGATCTGTAGAAAGACATATTCGCTATTCTTAACCAATATTTGATGACTTTCATTTGTGATTCTGTAAGCAAAAGAAGTCTTCCGAAATCCCCATAAACCGTTAAGTCAGATGTGCTCGACTTTACGCCTAGAAATCTCACACATTCATTCAAATGAACGTTTTCTATTACAATGAAAGTTTGAAGTCCAAAGATCTCGACGCCACAGAGCATCACTGGAGTAATCTATGACACAAAAGAATCTTACATATACAATAAGAGTTATAAGTATGGACAGGTAAAAACCTGATATGTTGATATTGGCGAGTCCCTTGAAATTTTACTTATGAGGTTTCCACTGTATTCCCATCAAGTTTTTATTTGCTTGTTTCGATGCTTGTGTCATATGTAGTAACCCGGACAGATGATTTGTGAAATTTAAACTGAAATATTTATTAGTGTTGATGGTTTCTATATCAACTTTGTAGTACCATTTTTCATTGAGAGCTAGTTTTCCACCATTTTTGAAAACAATTATTTTTGTCTTGTCTCTGTTGGCGGTTAGTTTCCGACATACAATATTTTCCAATTCTTTAACCACATTTTGTAGGCCACGTATTGTACTTGTGAAAAGAACAGCATCGTCAGCAAATAATAAGAACAACTGAACTGTTACTGAAGTAGCTGGATACCATTGGTGCAGTTATCATGAATCTGGTTTGCCAATTCATTCATTAAGGTTGGATTTACACTACGTCCGATTTTCTCCGCGTGGCGTCATGCGTTGCGTCCGAAAAAACGCAAGCAGTACATTTTCCATTTAGACAATACACTAGGTGCGAATTTTGCATGCATTGCGATTCGAAGCGATTTAGATAGGTAGGCCTCCTATTTTTGACTCAACGCAAATGAACTCGCATTAGGAATTCCCCTGATGACGTCATTCCAATAAGGTATTTCCCCAGGTGATTTACAATCAGGTAAGGCTATTTCCTCATCTTTCGATAAAAATACGCGATTCCAATTGCAGACAGGCTGTGTTTTTTATGAGATATTATTTACAATGTGTTTCTGCGCCTTTCTGTGCATAACATATACGTAAATATGACAAACCTTTGATAAATTTCATTCTCAGAATAAGCTACTTCAAGATGCTTCTAAAAGTCTTATGAAAAATAAAATGGCCCAAATATTTCATGAGGCTCAATCTGGTTCACGTCAACAGAACCCTCAGAACTATGTTCCCCAGGGAAGTCAGTACTGCTCAAATTCTATATATGTGGAATTTGTAATACCTGAGTGTATGAGAGAACAATGTTGGTATGAAAGTAAATATTTTCTACATACGTTTAGTTCAATATTTCGAAAACTCATAAAAGATTGATTTTATATAATTCCCTAATAATTCCCTTATAAGACGATTATAGGCTCCTTCAAGTAATGTTTGTTGGTTTAAGGGATGTTCACACCATCTCCGTGTTCTGTTCTCTTCCTAATGCACAGAAACTGCCAGAGATGCTAGGATTTTTCCTCCATCTGATATTCATCAAGCCCCTAGTGTATTGGAAAAAGACGCACTCGGTAACGCATGCGTCAAAAAATGCGGACGTAGTGTAAATCCAGAAAGAAAACAAATAATCACTTAGAATATAGCCCTGGCTTACGCCAAGTTGGCTTTTGAAAGTATCACATAATTCATTATTGCTTCTGACACATCTTTCCATTATCATATATACTATGTAAGAATTTGCTTATTTTATAACTGATGCCGTGATTATCTGGAAGAGACCATGGATTTTTGTGTTATTGTTATATATGTCACCATCAGCCAATACAACATAATTGTTTGACCTTTCGAATAAGTCATCTAAAATGTTGAGTTCTCCATGGGATAGAAATAATCCCGTCGTGCATTATGTCAAAAATGTGATCGCTCCGTTGACATGACGATATTGCTGGTAACCTGGACGAGTGGAATCACAGTCGGTAAGCCATGTCGAACAAAAATATTCCGGTTGTGTTCATGTCGTGTACGAAATGTCTGGCTTCATTTACACACACACTCGGATATTTGTCCTATGATGAAGCTAATGCATGTATTAATGTGTGTGTGTGTGAGTGCGCGCGCGCGTTCTTGCTTGCCCGACTCATGCCGCTTGTATAGTTCACTCTTAGTCTGTGGGCACACATATACTCTGGGCACACATATACTCTGGGCACACATATGCTCTGGGCACACATATGCTCTGGGCACACATATGCTCTGGGCACACATATACTCTGGGCACACATATACTCAACAGTAACACAATACACACAACCATAATTTGTTTGACGCTGTCAGTTCAGTGTGTTGTTTACTGGCCGGCTGGTCTACTGTCGTATAAGACTAAGAACAACATTCCATTCCCAGGCATCCATGAGTGACAGATGCCTCAGACACGGAATAACACCTGTTTGCGTATATATTCATGAGGCGGGATGTACTTCTGAGCATTTGTACACATTTCAGCCATTTGACAATGTCAATTTACCAAATGTTTCACGCAACCCAGCACAATGTTTCAAACACATATTGTATTACCCATTGTAATACACCCCATGAAGGGAATCGAACCCGTGGAATCGTCGTGGCTTGCGAACACTTGTACCACTGGGCTACATATTGGCAACTGTATGATGATCGGGTTGTTACAGGGTATACTCTGAGTGACCCACATATTGATTCTTTGCTCATGCTATCAATCACTAGATTCGATGCCAAGATTCGATCATTTAAGAATTACACCACTACAAAGGTAAATCACAGCAAAGGCATAAGACAAATGCTTTCTCCGGGAACCACCGCGATGTATTTCTTTGTGGGTATAGTAATGATATAAATCTCAAGAGAAGACTTTGAAGGACTACTTTTATTATCATTCGATTTGCAAAACAAAAGCATAAATGAAATTAACAACATCTTAATCATTTCAAAGTGAGTGATATTCCATCAGACATTACGGCGGGGGACACCAGAAATGGACTTCTCACATTGCACCGATATGGGGAATCGAACCTGGTCGTGACTGTTTCAGTACTCAGGAACCTAACCGACCCTCGACAACAATCCATATCATAACATACAGCAGCTGTAAGATGAAAAATGAATTTAAATATATCATCAATAATATGAAAACTACGTAACATTAATACTCAACCTCAACACATTCAAAAACCAAAATCAAACAAAATAGCAGCAAGGAAAGAAAAATGAAAACACTGCATCACTAAACATGAAACATTTATATTGTGGATAATTAAGCATGACCATCAACAAAAGAAAATTATAAACATGATGAATATGCATGTGAACGTTGTCCCTCAGTAATGGCAATACCCCGCTACATCGTTTATGATACAAACATTTCTCTTATGTAATTCGTTAGATGTTTGACCAATTGATGTGTACATGTGATCGTTTATACAAAAAATCAGTACTGCTACATTAATCTATGTTGATGTTGAAAACAGAGAGGCTGTCGTAGGTGGGGTTGCAGCAGTTGAAGATATACTAATCCCCTGGGTTGCGGTAGCTGGGAATAGAGATGCTGTTGTCATGGTAACACTGCTTCCAGATGTGCCTCCTGTCGTCATTGTCGCACTGCTTCCAGATGTGCCTCCTGTTGTCAAGGTAGCGCTAGTTCCTGATGTGCCTCCTGTTGTCATGGTAGCACTGCTTCCAGATGTGCCTCCTGTGGTCATGGTAGCACTGCTTCCAGATGTGCCTCCTGTTGTCATGGTAGCACTGCTTCCAGATGTGCCACCTGTTGTCAGGGTAGCGCTAGTTCCTGATGTGCCTCCTGTCGTCATTGTCGCACTGCTTCCAGATGTGCCTCCTGTTGTCATGGTAGCACTGCTTCCAGATGTGCCCCTGTTGTCAAGGTAGCACTGCTTCCAGATGTGCCTCCTGTCGTCAAGGTAGCGCTAGTTCCTGATGTGCCACCTGTCGTCATTGTCGCACTGCTTCCAGATGTGCCTCCTGTTGTCATGGTAGCACTGCTTCCAGATGTGCCCCCTGTTGTCATGGTAGCACTGCTTCCAGATGTGCCTCCTGTTGTCATGGTAGCACTGCTTCCAGATGTGCCTCCTGTTGTCAAGGTAGCGCTAGTTCCTGATGTGCCTCCTGTTGTCATTGTAGCACTGCTTCCAGATGTGCCTCCTGTTGTCATGGTAGCACTGCTTCCAGATGTGCCTCCTGTTGTCAAGGTAGCGCTAGTTCCTGATGTGCCACCTGTCGTCATTGTAGCGCTCAGTTCCTGATGTGCCTCCTGTTGTCATTGTAGCGCTCGTTCCTGATGTGCCTCCTGTTGTCATTGTAGCGCTAGTTCCAGAAGTGCCTCCGTCGTCATTGTAGCGCTGCTTCCAGATGTGCCTGTTGTCAGGTAGCACCTGATGTGTCCTGTTGTCATTGCGCACTGCTTCCAGATGTGCCTCCTGTTGTCAAGGTAGCGCTAGTTCCTGATGTGCCTCCTGTCGTCATTGTAGCGCGTTCCAGATGTGCCTCCTCGTCATTTCCTTCCAGATGTGCCTCCTGTTGTCATGGTAGCACTGCTTCCAGATGTGCCTCCTGTTGTCATGGTAGCGCTCGTTCCAGATGTGCCTCCTGTTGTCAAGGTAGCACTGCTTCCAGATGTGCCTCCTGTTGTCATGGTAGCGCTCAGTTCCAGATGTGCCTCCTGTTGTCATTGTAGCGCTCGTTCCTGATGTGCCTCCTGTTGTCATTGTAGCGCTAGTTCCAGATGTGCCTCCTGTTGTCATGGTAGCGCTCGTTCCTGATGTGCCTCCTGTTGTCAAGGTAGCGCTAGTTCCTGATGTGCCACCTGTCGTCATTGTAGCGCTCGTTCCTGATGTGCCTCCTGTTGTCAAGGTAGCGCTCGTTCCTGATGTGCCTCCTGTTGTCATTGTAGCGCTAGTTCCCGATGTGCCACCTGTCGTCATTGTAGCACTGCTTCCAGATGTTCCTCCTGTTGTCAAGGTAGCACTCAAGGTCGCACTGCTTCCAGATGTGCCTCCTGTTGTCAAGGTAGTGCTGCTTCCTGATGTCCTGTTGTCATGGTAGCACTGCTTCCAGATGTGCCTCCTGTTGTCATGGTGACACAAGGTAGCGCTTCCAGATGTGCCTCCTGTTGTCAGCGCTCGTTCCTGATGTGCCTCCTGTTGTCATGGTAGCACTGCTTCCAGATGTGCCTCCTGTTGTCTGTTGTCATGGTAGCGCTCGTTCCTGATGTGCCACCTGTCGTCATTGTAGCGCTCGTTCCTGATGTGCCTCCTGTTGTCAAGGTAGCGCTCGTTCCTGATGTGCCTCCTGTTGTCAATGTCTAGTTCCCAAGGTAGCGCTCGTTCCTGATGTGCCTCCTGTTGTCATTGTAGCGCTAGTTCCAGATGTGCCTCCTGTTGTCAAGGTAGCACTGCTCCCAGATGTTCCTCCTGTTGTCAACGTAGCACTGCTTCCAGATGTGCCTCCTGTTGTCAAGGTAGCACTGCTCCCAGATGTTCCACCTGTTGTCAAGGTAGCACTGCTTCCAGATGTGCCACCTGTTGTCAAGGTAGCACTGCTTCCAGATGTGCCACCTGTTGTCATGGTAGCACTGCTTCCAGATGTGCCACCTGTTGTCATGGTAGCACTGCTTCCAGATGTGCCACCTGTTGTCATGGTAGCACTGCTTCCAGATGTGCCACCTGTTGTCAAGGTAGCACTGCTCCCAGATGTGCCTCCTGTTGTCATGGTAGCACTGCTTCCAGATGTGCCTCCTGTCGTCATTGTAGCACTGCTTCCAGATGTGCCCCCTGTCGTCATGGTAGCACTAGTTCCAGATGTTCCTCCTGTCAAGGTAGCACTGCTCCCAGAAGTGCCTCCTGTCGTCATTGTAGCACTGCTTCCAGATGTGCCTCCTGTTGTCAAGGTAGCACTGCTTCCAGATGTGCCTCCTGTCGTCAGGGTAGCACTGCTCCCAGATGTCCCCACTGACGTGACTGTAGATGCGGTGACGGATGCTGCTGTTATGCTTGAACCCGTGGTATCAGTGACTAAAGGTTTACAGGTGGCGCAGCAGAACTCGTTGGCCAGGGTCTGGTTGGCACAGAAGAAGGTTTGGCAGACTAGATCTGGATCATCACCCGCCGGACAGTTTTCTGTGAAGTAAACATGAATATATGTATTAAATATGTAGGAGTTCCAACCCTCAAAAAACAACCCTAAATCAGTTCAAAATCAGCAATTTGGATCCACCAATTATCAAGAGGATGCCACTGAGGATGCTTTAGGCATGACATATACAGAAGTACACGATTTGTTAATATTATTTTCGTTTAGGTGAAAGGAACATGATTCCATCGACGTAAGGTTTCTTTATAACCCAAGGGCATATGGCACAGTGGATGCAGTGTTAAGTCCCTTTCCACGTTCTGTTCGGCTTAAAGGCTATTGACTGCACTATTCAGTAACTCTTGTCTGCTCAGGTTAGTCCCCTGACAAAACGAGCTTTTTTAAATGCCATTCTGTTTTTGCTGTTGCTACAGTCCGACATTTGAGATGACTTCTTGACATTCCTCCATTGTTCAAAACTACTTGTAAAGAGCATGGTCCACCACCAGTATTAGATGACCTAATCATCCAACACTACTAGTCTAAAGCATGGTCCACCACCAGTATTAGATGACCTAATCATCCAACACTACTAGTCTAAAGCATGGTCCACCACCAGTATTAGATGACCTAATCATCCAACACTACTGGCCAAGAGCATGGTCCATCACCAGCATTAGATGACTTAATCATCCAGCACTACTGGCAAAGAGCATGGTCCATCACCAGTATTACATAACTTAATCACCCAACACTACTAGTCTAGAGCATGGTCAACCACCGGTATTAGATGACCTAATCATCCAAAACTACTAGTCTAGAGCATGGTCCACCACCAGCATTAGATGACCTAATCATCCAACACTACTAGTCTAAAGCATGGTCCACCACCAGTATTAGATGACCTAATCATCCAACACTACTAGTCTAAAGCATGGTCCATCACCAGTATTAGATGACCTAATCATCCAACACTACTGTCCAAGAGCATGGTCCATCACCAGCATTAGATGACTTAATCATCCAGCACTACTGGCAAAGAGCATGATCCACCACCAGCATTAGATGACCTAATCATCCAGCACTACTGGCAAAGAGCATGGTCCATCACCAGTATTAGATGACTTAATCATCCAACACTACTGGCCAAGAGCATGGTCCATCACCAGCATTAGATGACCTAATCATCCAACACTACTGGCCAAGAGCATGGTCCATCACCAGTATTACATAACTTAATCACCCAACACTACTAGTCTAGAGCATGGCCCACCACCAGCATTAGATGACCTAATCATCCAACACTACTAGTCTAAAGCATGGTCCACCACCAGTATTAGATGACCTAATCATCCAACACTACTAGTCAAAAGCATGGTCCACCACCAGTATTAGATGACCTAATCATCGAACACTACTGGCCAAGAGCATGGTCCATCACCAGCATTAGATGACTTAATCATCCAGCACTACTGGCAAAGAGCATGGTCCATCACCAGTATTACATAACTTAATCACCCAACACTACTAGTCTAGAGCATGGTCAACCACCGGTATTAGATGACCTAATCATCCAACACTACTAGTCTAAAGCATGGTCCACCACCAGTATTAGATGACCTAATCATCCAACACTACTAGTCTAAAGCATGGTCCACCACCAGTATTAGATGACCTAATCATCGAACACTACTGGCCAAGAGCATGGTCCATCACCAGCATTAGATGACTTAATCATCCAGCACTACTGGCAAAGAGCATGGTCCATCACCAGTATTACATAACTTAATCATCCAACACTACTGGCTAGAGGATGGTCCATCATCAGCATTAGATGATCGAATCAGTCATGAATACTGGCAAAGAGCATGATCCACTACCAGCATTAGATAACCGAATCAGTCATGAATACTGGCAAAGAGCATGGTCCACCACTACCATTAGCTGGCATATTCATCCAATCGTTCGTATACTTAGATTTGTGATATTGCAAAGAAGCACAGTAAACAGCAGAGTAAACAGTTCTCCACCAAACCTAGTTCTGATGTGCTGTCAGTGAGATGTCTAAAGGTGTTATATGCATATGAGACAAAACAACAACATGAACGTCAGAAAATAAATTTTATTATATTTGATGTCTTTACAAATTGAAATGACTGTCATCTGACAAAATAGGTTGAATGAATTAATAACCAGAATACCGAAACAGAGAATTGCAGTATTATCGCAGATTTCCTATGACATAAACGTAGTGGAAGGCATGACATGGTTCCACTTACAACATGAGTTCATATGAGCACAGTGACACGTAATATTTTTATATGATCAACTGATATATAAACAGAATAAACGCCTCGAATAATGATAAAATATTGATGTCAATTTGAGTGTCTAATTCCTTCACACTATTTAGTAAAGAAAAACAATACCAATGTGAAATCATGCAGAGCCACCTCCACAAATGACAAAGACATTTTACATTATATTCAGTTCCCTATTCTACATTTGAGTTCAGCCTAACTACGGTGTTGTTACAGGTTCTTAACGAAAATCGATCCCGTTGTTGCAAAAAACAATGTTGTCTTTGGAAATACAGTTGTTGAAGATATTGTACCTGAGCTTCCTCCTGCAGCTGGAGGTGGTGGTGTACCTGATCTACCTCTGTAGATTGTCATGTAGCCGATGTACCTCCACTAACTGTGGATGGTGATGTACCCGATGTACCTTCACTAACTGTGGGTGGTGATGTACCCGATGTACCTCCACTAATTGTGGGTGGTGATGTACCCGAGGTCCCTTCACTAACTGTGGGTGGTGATGTACCCGATGTACCTCCACTAACCGTAGGTGGTGATGTACCCGATGTACCTCCACTAACTGTAGGCGGTGATGTACCTGATGTCCCTCCAGTAACTGTGGATGGTGATGTACCCGATGTACCTTCACTAACCGTGGGTTGTGATGTACCTGATGTACCTTCACTAACTGTGGGTGGTGATCTACCCGATGTACCTTCACTAACTGTGGCTGATGGTGTACCCGATGTCTCTCCACTAACTGTAGGCGGTGATGTACCCGATGTACCTTCACTAACTGTGGGTGATGGTGTACCCGATGTCTCTCCACTAACTGTGGGTGGTGGTGTACCTGATATAC